TTTTGGGGGGGAGGATTAAATTTAAGGCCTCCTCACGCTCGTTAGATGAGTGCTGTACCACTTGAGTCATGACCTGGTACTTTTGCTCTTAGTTTAGTATCAGTACAGTGTCACACTTCCGCCCAAGCTGGCCTTGGATGGCCATCCTTCTACCTCCACCTCTTAAGTAGCTGGGAGCTGGTATTGCAAGTATGCTGCTACACCCAGGTTATGTATTTAGGCAGTACTGGGGTTTGAACTCAGGGCCTTGTTCTTGCTAGGCAGGTGCTTTGCCACTTGAGTCACAACTCCGTCTCAAGTTTTTGCCTGCATGGGCTTCTAACTGTGATCTTCCTACGTACACCTCCACGTAGCTGGGATTACAGATGTGGAGTCACCATGCCTGGCTTATTTGTTAAGATGGGGTCTTGCTAACATTTTGCCCATGCTGGCCTTGAACTGAGATCCTCCTATCTCTGCCTCCTGAGTAGCTAGAATTTAGGCCTCTTCTACCATGCCCAGCCTAAACTTATTTTTTCTTGACTGCTTATTATTTTGAGCACATTACATAAATTAATTCATTTAAATTCAGATTTTCACTCCAGTGTTCATTGTACTATTGTTCTCTGCCTTTCAGAGAACGTTGGGCCCAGTAAAAGATGGTTCTTTATTGTCCACTTGTGATCTTTTCTCTCTCTCTTTTCCTTTTTTTTTTTTTTTTTGTGACACAGGAGTTTTGAATTTTGAATTCATGGTTTCATGCTTGCAAAGCAGGCACTCTACCACTTGAGCCATACCTCCAGTCCATTTTGCTGTGATTATTTTGGAGAGAGGTCTCACAAACTATTTGTCCTGTCTGGCATTGAACTGTGATCTTCCCAATCTCAGCCTCCTAAGTAAATAGAATTACAGGTGTGAGCCACCAGCAGCTGGCTCCCACTTGTGGTCTCTATCATGAGTAGAGCAGGCTGAACTGGTCACATGCAGAGGAAGATGGCGCTGCCATAGTGGCAGCAACAGTGTCAGTGAAAATGGCTAAAGAGTTCTAGAAAGCCAATGGCAGAACTGTGGGGAGTAGAGGCAGCCAAGATGATGGATGGATGATGACAGGGATCAGGAGGTGGAAAGCCAAGACTGAAAGGCAAAGATGACTCTTCATCACTGAAGAGTTCCACGGAATTGCCAAGTTTCTGGGCAACACCCAAGGCTGAAGATGTGTATGTAACACTAGCCACTGTAAGGGCCAAGGGTACTGACGCCTGCAGCTCAAGATCTGTAATGCTATCTGCTGTTAGAAACCAAGGGTCTTGACACTGAAGGTCTGGGAGCTCTAACAGTGGCCATTGCCTGCTGTGCCAAGGCTAGCTGCTGCTACAAGCTATGGATCACTGGTAACTGAACGTGGGGCTCAGAGCAATAAGCCTGTAAACTGAGCACATAGAGCTAAAAGTCTCTGGCCTCTAAAACTTGGAGCCATAAACCTCTGGGTCTGTTAGTCCAGCCTGCAGGCCCTTGACATTCAAGGGCCCAGAACCACCAACTCCAAGGAAACTGCCCTTTGCCTATTCAGTTTCCATTTGGGTAGAGCAAAAGAAACCCAGCCAGCTGGTTAGTAACAAAAGCAATACTCAGTCATGTGAGGGACAACTTGTCTTTTCCTTCAAAGAAATAGCAACCCAGATAAATCCACTTTAAAGCAGCAGTCCATTATGTTTGCCTAACTTGCAGCTTCCCTGAATGTTAAATGTTGGCCTTGCCCATTCCCTCATCTATAGTTAATCAAGAAAGACTGAACCCTGACTATTACCAATAGGAGAAGATGGCAGTGTTGCATCAGGGATAAAAACCTCCGCAGACTACCTTCTTGGTGTACTTGTTTATCAGACCTATGTTGGTGGCACACCCTTATGCAGAAGTAAAACTGTTTGCCTGGTTGACTGACTCCTAAGACTTATTTCTAACAGTCAGTAGAAACCCTACTTAGAATTTTGAACTTTTCCCAGGCTATCAATATGCATATAGACATTTTCATGATCTGGGCAACAGGGAAGCACAGCATCTAGTAAGCCCCGAGATCATGAGAGTAAGCAATCATTCTGCAGCGTACTGTGTTGCTAAGCTGTGATGTCCAGTAGGTCAGGTATGTTAAATGCACTTTGGATTTAATACCTTTACAATGTATGATGATCGCAAGCCAAAGGGCTTCTGTGATTTGGAAAGTCAGGAGCGGGTGAATCAACGTGGCATCTACATTATCTTCTTGTGCATCTGAGTAAACAGTGGTGCCAATGTGTTGAGATAAGAGAGCCTGTGGGGACTAAAGTAGAGAAGATGAGCTCTGTAGACAAAAATCAAGGGTGGTCAATTTGAGATATTTGTGTGGCACCTAAGGGGATATGTCCTGTAGACACTGGATATTTGTGTCTGGAATTAAGGGCAGAGATCAGGGTTGGGAATTTCTGACTATTAAGCATGAAGATGATATTTCAATCCATGGGAGCTGAGGTAGTCACATGGGGAGGGAATCATAAGAGAAATGTGGTCCCAGGGCCAAGTCCTGGGGTTGCTCAACATTTGGATAGGATAGAGGAAAGGGAGCTAGAGAAAGCTAGTGAGATAGTCAGAAGATTCTGGGTTTGGAAGCATATAGTATGTATTGAGTTCAAGGCCATCCTATCTCTTGAGCTTTCTCGAGCTCCTGGTTCTCCTGACCTGACTGAGGTGACTGGAGATGCAGAAAGGACAAACGATAGAAGACAAATCTGGGGCCAGGTGTGCGGGGGGCTCAAATGGAGACGCACAGCGGCCTCGTTGCTTATTTTCTCCATTCTTTAAAACCTTACTTCTAAAGTCTGTTTTTTTTTTCTGTTCTTTAAAGTCTCTTGCCTTAGACTCACACTGTCCGATGATTTCTTTAGCTTTCTTAAAGTCTTGGTGCTCAGACTTGCACTATCCCATGTTTCCTCTAATCTCTAGCATAACTCAGCCACAGCAGCAGCAGCCTCACAAGCAGCCCACAGCCAGCCAATCAAAATCCCCTCTCCTCCTTCAGGGAGTCTTTTATATCCAGTGGTAAACAGGGAGGTAGAGCAACAGTTCTTAGGGAGAGACATGACATTGTAACAGGATAAACCTGTGTTCTACTTTGCTGAATGTAAGCAACTTAGGAAAAGCAGCTGAGCTGCATTTTGTCTCTTACTCTCTTCTGTAGATGGGGCCTTGCCAAACTCAGCCTGTAGATCACTGAGCACAACTGTGCTTCTGTCAAGTTCTCATAGGCTTCTCATAACCTGCTCCCCACAATCCTAGGCTTCATAACCAGACCATGTCAGAGAGAGAATCACCAAGAAAGAGGTTGCATATAGATGGGTGTTCATGGTGTGCTGTGGGAGCACACGGGAGGACACTGAGTAAATGTGGGGAGGATTGAGGGAGAGAAGCCCTGGGAAATAGGGGAGGGTCCATCTGAATCTGTAGGAATAAGCCAGGCACCACCAGTGGCTCTCAACTATAATCCTAGCTACTTAGGAGGCTGAGATCAGGAGGATGGTGGCTCAAGGCCAACTCCAGGAAAGTAATTTGTGATACCCTATCTCCAAAATAACCATAGCAAAAAAGACTGGAGGTGAGACTCAAGTGGTAGAGTGCCTGTTTTGCAAGCACAAAGCCCTGAGTTCTCACCCCAGTCCCACCAAAACAAAACAAAAACAACAAAAACCAACAAACAACAAGAAAAAAAGAGTGTAGGAATAATCCTAACAAAGAGGACTTTCCATGTGACTAGATCAGATAGAACCTTTATTCTTTCTTAAGGTAACACATGCTCATTATAGAAAATGGTTAAATATGTAGAAAAAAATCATTCTCTGAGGATTTTATATTTTGTTATCTTCCATACAGGATGATGTTTTGTACAAAGTTGAAACTATATTTTGGGAGGTTTTGTTCTGTACTTGCTTAATATATTAAACACTTCCCCGATGACACTAAAAATTCCATAAACATCTTTACAGATAGGGAGAATTTCATAATGGAATCAAATCATTAACCATATCTTTGAGGTTCTGCATTTATTTCTGATATTTCAAATTATGCTTGGAAACATTTATGTATTTTTCACATGAATCTTTTTTAAAAAGTCCTTGGTAGACCTCAGGTGCCCGTCTACAAAGTTTTTACAATTTGTTCTTCTAAGATTTCTGCTTTAGGTTGTTTAGAATAATCACGGTGGATGAGATTGTAGTGTGAAGAATGGATGGAGTGGGGTCAAGGGTGAGGCCTCTGGAGAAAAGCAGAAGCTTCTAAGTCCCAGACCTAGGAATTCAAATACGCCCTAAAGTCTCCCTTCCCAGAGGATTCCTATGTGAAAAGCACTGATTGAGACCTGGGTTTCAAATCAATTTAGAATCACCTGAGAAGCTTTCAGATAAACGTCCCTACCCAGGACACATGCCATACTGATTAATACCAATAAATACGTACCTCGGCGAGTGGCCTTAATAGACAAAAATCTCTCCAAGTGCCCCCAACATGCAGTCAATTTTGAAAGCCTGTCGCTGACAGCATTGGTGTGATAGGAAACTTCTGCGCTGTTTGGCTCGAATGGCTCAGGAACAGGAGTGGGAGGGAAGCGTCGCCTGCACCATGGACCCACGCGGCTGTTTTTTTGCATTTTGTACAATGCGCGCAGCGCCTTTGGGAATCGACCCCAAAGCACACGTGGGAAAGCCTGGCAGACGCCCGGCTCATCGAAGGGGCTCAATCAGCCCGGCGGCGGAGCCACGCCCACTGAGGGATCGGGTCACGCCCACCGAGGGGCGGAACTCCCGCCCACTCCGCGTGGTGCGCAAGCGCGCTGGCAGGCGTCGCCAGGGAGGGCCTCCGCTGACGTCAGGACGTCTTGCGGATTCCAGCCTCCTAGCCCTGGCCCTCCAACCCCACGCGGGCCGGACGGGGGCGGGGCGTCGGGCCAGCTGAGCTGCTCCGTCAGACCGCGCTAGTTTGAATGAAAGCTCCACAAGATGGCGGCGGCTGGGGCCGAGGCGCGAAGAGGTGAGAGGCTGGAGCGCGGCCCCCCGCTCTCCGGGTTCCCAGCCATTGCTCCCGAGGCCGCGGGCCGATTGGACAGCGACGTGGCGGCTGCCGCCCGGCTGACACCCTGACCCCTGCACGCGCGCGGCCGGCTCCCGCTCTCCCCGTCCGGCCCGCGCCCTCGCGGTCTCCCCACTGAGCGTCTCCAGGAGCCCCGCTCGCCGGCCTGGCCCCCTCGGTGTCGCCGGCGCCCCCCGAGGTCTCCGGGCCGCCGGTCCCATGGGCAGGGCTGCGGCTTGGGTCCTTTGTGGTGGTTTGTGGTGTGCGCGCTGCCGCTTTTAACTGCAAAACGGGAAACAACGCCCGCGTCTGTAATCATGACCCCCATAACCGAGGCATCCGTGTGATAAGAAAGGGACTAAGTGAGGCTCCCTTCGGGGCGGAGCCCCTTGGTGCAGAAAGTCCTAGAAAGTGGGTGTTTGAGGGTGCAGCCTCTGCTCTGCCTAACTTCTCTGCCCACCGGGAACTTGGGTGTTATTTTTGTGGACACTGAGCGCACGTGCGTGTGTGTGTACGTGGGTTGGTGTCGCGCTCTTTGAAAGCTTGGAACTTGGAATGCATTCTGGAATTTTAAAGGTCTTTTCAAGCTCTACTCCTCTCTATGCAGTCTGTGACCTCATTATCCTTAATGCCACTTCCTTTAAGGACGGTGGGCGTTAGCGTGAGTTTTATGGTGGTAATACATTGTTTAATATGGTCAACAAAATCTTCTTACTAGTATAGAATGTTGGCCTTTTTTCTTTTTTTAAAAAGAAGGCTGACTTTGGGGCCTTTTTTCCTATCCCCAGTAGCCATCCTGGGTAGGAGAGGAGAAGCTTTTCTAGCACTGGTGATCCTGGCCCTGAGTGCGCAAGGCCTAGGGGCTCAGAAGCCTACACCGCCAAGCCCTGAGAGCTGGGGGCCCACTTCATCAGGGCTTAGAAGCCAGAGAATTACTGTGCTGGGCTTTAACTGTCAGCAGCCCTGGCACTTGGTGGCTACTGTAATCTGCAGCAGATAGCAGCAAGCAGCAGTAGGTGGCCTGGTCTTGTACTGGCTAGGATATTGGGACCCTCTACAACTAGCGATACAGCTCTTGGGCCTAGGATATCTGAGACTTTGGCCCTTAGGGCTTGGCAGCTCGCTGGAACTCTTCCAGTGATTAGGACTCCCGGTTTCTCATCTTAAGCTCTTTACAGGTCTTTTGGTGTCCATCACTTCTGCTCTGGATCATTTCTGCCCAGCCCTCCCCTCACTACTGCTGCTGTCCCACTGCCTGCCTTTGCCACTGCTTTCTCTCTGCTGGCACTTCTGCCATCTTCCCATTGTGTTTCCAACACAGCTCCTTCTTCTAATGATAAATATCAAAAGTAGGCAAGAAAAGGCCACTGGAGAGAATTCTTTTATTGGGCCTAATATGGCAGTACAGAATGGCGTGTCCATTCTGTCCACAAAGTGAGAGGAATAGCCCACTTGTATAGCCAAAAAGTGTGACTTGTGAGGAGGGGTGTGTGCACCAATCACAGCACAGTCCCTCATGCAAATGAGAGACCACTCTTGTACCAATCACAACACTCCTTCATGTGTTTGAGTCAGTCACAGGCCTTCTATTGGACCACCAGGGGAAGTGCCCCTTCTCTGGCCTGGGTGGAAATGGCTGCCATCATCTAGAGTTCACTGAGGTTTGTGATGACAAAAAGTCCTGCACAAGCTGTTTGAAACTGATGACTGGGACAGTGCCTGTAGGAGCCAGAGCTGTGCCTCAGCAGTATGCAGCTGTCCCTGCTGCTGGTGACTTCAAGGTGACCATATATTCAAAGCAGCCTGGCAGGCATGAGGGAGTCCAGCGGGCTGGGCAGCTAATTGTCCTTCACTCAAAGCACCTTGAGCACCAGAAGGGTCTAAAAGCTGTCTATTAGGGAGTCGACATATTAGCTTATTTAAAGGAAAAAATAAACATTAAAAGGGGTTGCCTACAATATACACTAATCATTACCAATGATTTAACTGTACTTAACAATGTTTGTGCCCCCAGGAGAGGTCCCTGTCTCATTTGCAGTTTTTTTATATTCAAAATTTTAAATTCTCAAATATAGCATTTCTGTCCAGGGTTGTATTTTGAATCTTCAACTGGGAATATATAGAAACAGCAGACAAACACACCTTGGATACATAAAGGAGCCTCCTTTGTTCTTGGTCGGTATAACGGGATTGGATACACTAAACATCTCAAGAATTTTAGATGGAAGGGAGTTATGAGATAGATCATTTCTTTAGAGTGTTCCTATTCTCCAAACCATCATTCTGAAGCAAGGATCATCTTCCCACAAATTTTTTGAGGAAAATATCTTTGCCTTTCTTGTGTTAGGATTATGAATCTTTTGTACCAATATGGAAATTGTGCTTAATCGTTTCTAACAATGAAATGGCTGAGTTGAGGAGGGTGAGGAAGGGTGTAGTGAAGTTCCCTGTCTCTTGGAAATTACCTCAAAATGCAAAAGGTTATCCCCACTACCTTGAAGAGTTACCAAGCAAAGCTTGAGCTAATGATAAATTTTGTTTAGTAACCCAAGTTTTTTCTCCAACCCTCACTTTTTTTTGCCCAGTGAATCTGCACCCAAAAAAGATTGAAACCTCACTAAAGTCATATTTGTGGCCCACCAAGGACTAGGGAAGGGAACTCTTTATTTATCTAGTGCTTACCATGACACTAGCCATAAAACCAAATTTATTTTTCTAAATATCAGTTTTGTAATTATATTTTAAATTCACTGTTTACAGACTTTTTTTTTTTTTTTTTTTTGTGGTACTAGGGTTTGAAATCAGGCCCTATACCTTGAACCACTCCACCAGCCCTTTTTGTGTGTGTGTGATGAGTTTTTTCCAGGGTCTCACAAACTATTTTGCCCAACCTGGCTTCTAACCATGATCCTCCTGATCTCTGCCTCTTGGGTAGCTAGGTTTACAGGCATAAACCATAGTGCCTGACTGTTTATAGACTTGAAGGTAAAATCTATAACACAATTAGTTTCTGACTTCAGTAAGGTTGGGTTGATTATGAGTTTGATATTCAAGGTTGCTATATGGATTCTGTAAACTGAATACTCTGATTTGTAACTGTTGGCATTAAAAACCATACAGAAAAGGAGTATTGCAAAAATTGACATACTGCCCATTTAAAAATTATAATTCTTAAGTTTATTCATCTTGATGATAATACATTGCACCATGGGCAAAATAAGTAGAGTTAAAATTTCCTACAACATTCCAAAATGGAAAAAGTAGGACATATATGTTTATAATTATAGTACTGTATTTCAGTTAGATTTCAGTTCTTACTGTCCCATTCAAAGAAATGAAAAAGTTACTTTTTAAAACAAATTACGATTGTGTTCTAAATTATATATTAAATATATTTCTAATAATGTTTTACCCATTTAATTAAATAGTAGTTATATTCTAGGAGAATGTCACGGAAGAGTCAAAAACATCACCTCTATTGACCTTTGCATCTATGTATAATCTTAAAAAAGTTCACAGACATGAAGTGGCTTAGTGGAAATTAATCACTGTCAGTAAAACGTAATAGAATAGAAATCCATTAGAAAATACAAGAAAACCAATTTACCACAGTTCTTTAATGCTTAACTTTTTTCTTGAACACACATAATTGGTTTCTTATCAAATGGATTTTTTGCCTGTAAAATGCTAGTTGAAGGGTGGGGATATAAAGGTTTTAAGTTTCTCTTTTTTGTTTTAACTGAGTAGCTATTTCATTAGTAAAGAATTCTATTTTCTTATTGTAGCTTGGTGTGTGCCTTGCCTAGTTTCACTTGATACTCTTCAGGAATTATGTAGAAAAGAAAAGCTCACATGTAAATCGATTGGAATCACCAAAAGGAATCTAAACAATTATGAGGTGGAATACTTGTGTGACTACAAGGTAGTAAAGGTAAGGCAAATATCTAGCTCCTTAAGAGACCTATTCACACTTCAGTATTTCATATTTCTGTAACATAAAGAGACCTTATAAGTAAGCAAAATTCTTCTTGATGTTTAAATTCTGAGTCATGATAAAGTGATATGTTTTGTCATCTATTATTGTTAAATAATATTGAAAGGATTTTGAAGATAAAGTATTCTTGCATTAGAATAGTTTAAGGTGCTTATATCATTCTACATCCAACTCTTGATTATCTCCATGTGGATTACTCAAGCAGGTATTTGATCTCAGATTGGCTTTTGCTGTCATTCATTTTGTTCCTAGATTGTATTTCCCCATTGTCACCGAAAATGAACCTAGATTTTCAAACCTATTTTAGTGTTATCAAGAAGCGTCACCATTTCTAATTTCTGATGTTATATCAAACTCTAGACATTAGGAGGTTCTATGATGTAAACGAATGGCCTGGTTTTCAAAGTCATTTTGAGCTTTGATTTAGCACCTTATGACTTCAGTAAGCTGATTTAATGTCTCTGAGCTTCCCTTTTTGTTTCTCTTAAAAATGAGTTGTAAGAAGCTTTATCTGTAGCCTACTTGGGAAGAACTGTGTTTTGGTCAGTAATCTCAGTTCTTCAGGTAAATCAATCAGGAATCCTGTTTTCATTCTTTCTCCTTCTTCATTTTCTACATTGAATCAGTTACTAAATTTCCCATTTCTTCCTTTGAAATGTGTATCTTACTATCACTGCCTTCCCACTTAATGGGAATCAAGCATTTTCACCTGTACTCTCACCATCCTTCCACCCCTGAAACAGCCCAGTCCTCCATTAGCTGAGAATGTCATGCAATCATGCATATTCACGTCATTGAATTTATCTATTCTCTTGTCTCTCAGTGCTGCGTGACAAGCTTTTTATCTATTGCTTTGTTTTCCCATTCATGTCAGCAGTTTTCCCAGTGTTTGTAACTTTTATGGACCTCTAGTGAAGACCACCTCTTCTACCTCAGTGAATGAGTAAGATCCTTTAAGTCTGAACTTGTAATTTACCTTTACTGCCAGTTATCTGTATCTTCATGTTTCCTTTCAGAGAGGTCATTTTCTTTTTTCTTCCTATCCACCCTTCTGGGACTTTGTGTAATTTGTGATGTCTTTTCTATTTTTTAATTTTATTTACTTTTTGAGACACAGTGTTACTGTATATCCTCAAGCTGGCCTCCAACTCACAATCATCCTTCTTCAGCCTCCAAAGTGCTGGGATTACCAGGCTTGAGCCACCCTGCCTTCCTTGGTGTCTTAATATTGGGCTCTTTTTTCACTGGTTTATTTCAGTCAATAAACATATTTAGATTTTTCCCTAACCTTCAGAAATCATCCTCTGACCCTCCCTCCCCACTCATACAAGTATTTCCTGTCTTCCTTCTACTTCATGTTCCAGTAACATTTTAATTTCAGATTAATTCACATGCCATTGAATTACCTATTTAAAGGTAAATCTTATATTTACAGAGTAAGTGAATTTCAGAGCATTTTTCATTACCCTAAAAAGAAACAAAGCCCCTTAGCCATCACTTCTCCAAATCTCCTCAATTATTCTTCTACCCCTACCAACCCTAGGCAACTGCTAAATCTATTTTCTGTTTCTATAGATTTGACTCTTTGGATGTTTCATATAAATAGAATCAAACAATATATGGTTCTTCATGACTGATTTGTCTCAGTTTCCATATGATGGCACACATCAGTACTTCCTTTTTATTGCCAAGTAATGTTCCATTGTATGAATAGATCACATTTAATTTATCTGTCCATCAGTTGGTGAGCATTTGGGCTATTTGCATTTGTTACGGACTTTCACATAAAAGTTTATGTGTGGACATAAGTTTTCATTTCTTTTGGAGTGGAATTGTTATGTCATATTGTATTCCTGTGTTTCACCATTTAAAGAATTGCCAGACCGTTTTTCAGAGCTCTGCATCATTTTACTTTCTCACTAGCAGTGTATGAGAGATCTATTTCTTCATCCTGACCAAAACTTGGTAGCTTCTGACCTCTGATTATAGCTGTTTTACCAGGTGTGAAGCGCATCTCACTGTGGCTTTGATATGCATTTCTCTGCTATCTAATGATGCCTAGCATCTTTTCATCATGTTCTTATCATTTGTCAATCTTTTGTGGCATACTTTCCCAATCCTTTATTCATTTTTTAAAGTTGGGGTTTATTATTCACTAGTAATTCTTTATATATTCTGGATAGGAGTCCCTTAACAGGCTGATTTGCATAACTTTTTTTTTTGCAGTACTGGAGATCAAACGCAGGGGTCTCCCACTTGAGCCACACCCCGTTTTTGGGTTTGTTTGTTTGTTTTTTTCACTTCAGTTTGTTTTTCAGATAGAGTCTTCATTATGCCCAAGCTGGCCTTAAGCTGCTATCCTCCTATCTCTACCTTCCGTGTAGTTGGGATCACAGGTGTGCGTCACCACGTCTGGCTTGTATTGGAGATAGCGTCTGTCAGTAACTTTGCCCTAAATGGCCTTAGACTGCCGTCTTCTTGTCTCCATCTTATAAGTGACTGGGGTTACAGGCATGAGCTTCACATCTGGCTCCATTAAATTTTTAACTCATTTTATTCCCATTTGTGCACATATCAGTGATTTTTTTAATGCCAACTCTGAAGACCTCAGATCTTAAGATACTACTTTGCCATATTAGCACTGTCTTCTACCTTCTTTGAAACTCTTGTCTGTGAAGAGAATGCCTAAGTTCAAATTCCAGCACTTGTCATTTCTTAGTTATGTGACCTTCAGTAAGTTATTTACTCTGTCTGTCCTTCAGTTTCTTTGTCTATGAATTGAGGGTATTTATAATACCCATCTCATAGGGTATAATTATAATTAAATGAGTTAATTTAGAATGATTAGAACAGATATCTACATGCTTTTTTTGTACCTACTTTTAAAAATGTTCTTTTAGGACTCTCTTTTACTGTCTCTTACCATTCTTCCTCTGAAATGTAAATAGTCTGCAAGGCTCTGTCTTTAGCTTTCTTCTCACCTTTTAGTTACTTTTCAGGTGACTTCTTTCCTAATGGTTTCTGCTTGTATTTGTTTGTGTCATGACTCCCAAATCTTTTTGAGGCTGTGACCTCTTTCTGGCTTCATTTCAAACTGGTACTCTACAAATACTTAAGTTGAACACTTCCAAAACTGTACCCATTTTCCTCAAGTCTGCATCTTGTACTAGTGGTCCCCTATCTTAATTAGAAGAATCATAATATTTCCAGGTAAAATCTTAATTTCATACTCTAATTCTTTCATCTTACTCTCTAAATCTAATGTGTGATTAGATTGTATTTTTTTGGTTCCATTATATTTTCACATAGAAAATTTGTTTACATTGAAGGTGCTGTTAAGATTTATCCTTATACAGAATTCTGGGTATAGTTCAGGTTCAGATAGTTCCTTGCTGTTTAGTTTCTTTTTACTGTTTCTCATCAGTCCATCTGGCATCTTGCTTTGGAATAAGTAGCCTTACTTTGCTTACTTACATCTTCAAAAACCCCACTTATATCCCTTATTTCTTCTACCTGCTTCTTATACATTGAGCCAGTATTACTTCAACACACTTCTACCTATTTTCATCTCTGCTTCCTCTTTTTCTTTCATACATTCAAGGTAAGCAAAAGAGAGTTGTCCCTGTTCTTTTCTTGTGTGGCTCCTTCCACTTAGTTCATATACAATACTCAGTATTGTACTCCACAATGTCATTACAGTTTCTTAAACCCAGCTGTGATTGCACTGGGGTCTTCTTAAGACCTTTTAATACTGTCATCTACCTGTGTAATGTGAAATAAATACTTGCAGATTTTCTCATTTAGCTAAAATTTACTAAGCACTTACTATGAGGCATGTATTGTTCTAATCATGGAAATACAGATTAAAAACAGACATAGCTTATATCTTAATTTCTTGAATACCTCATGCACTTTTGTGCATTAGTTAGTCATTAATGAGTTGAACTGTTTTTACTTCAGTCATTTCTTCACTTCCCACAACCACTATTAGACCAGACCCTAGCTTCCTGCTCTGTTATAGTGGTACTCTGTTGACTAATGTAATAGCTACTTTTGTCTAGCTGTGCCCTAATACCTGATATAAACAGCTAAAAGAAGGATTTATTTTTGCTTGGGCTGAACATCATGGCAGTGGGAGTGTGTGGTGAAGGAGATTTTTTACCTCATGGCAAACAAAGCAGGAAGTGAGACAGAGCCAAGTAGCCAGGTATATCCTTGACAGGCATGCTATGCCTTCGGTGACCTACATCTTCTAGATAGGCCCCACTTCCTAGTTTCCACAACTTTCCCAAATAGTTCTCCTAGCTAGGAACCAAACATTCAACACCTGAGCCTGGGGGAACATTTCACATTCAAATGCTAATATTCCCCTCCGGCCCCCAAAAGCTCATGGCCATCTCATAATGCAAATATATTTATTTACTCCATCTCTAAGAGCTCCCAAAAGTCTTAACAGTTTCAACATTGTTCAAAAATAAAAATTAAAGTCTCCTCTGAGAATCAAGGCAAACTCTTAGCTGTAAACCCCTGTAAATCAAAAAGAAAATTACATACTTCAAAAATTCAGTGGCACAAAGTAAACATTCCTATTCCAAAAGGGAGAGATGGGGGGTGTAGAAAGGAGGGATGGTACCAAAGCAAAAAAAAACTAATAGAGAAAACATTTAAGTCATAGCTCCATGTGTGGCATCCAGAACATGTGGTATAGTGATGGAAGGACCAGTGGGCTGGGACAGCCCCATTTAGCCTTGCCATTTGTAGCCTACATGACCTCTAGCTTGGGCTGGCTCTCCTACTCATTACCTATGGCTTTTCTCAGTAGATGTTCCATGTTCCTGGCATCTTCCACATCCTGAGGTCTCCATTGCTGCTTAGGCTTCACTCTTGCAGCTTCATGCTTGCCCTCTCAGGGGCTGCCTGTAAGGAATCTGTCCCTG